AAAAAAAAAAAAAAAAAAAAAAAAGAGAGAGAGAGAGAGAGAAGGAAAGAAAGGAAAAGGATGGAAAGAAATAATAAAAAAATAATCATTTTAAAAGAGAGCAAGTTAAGAGGAAGGAAATCTTACAAGGTGGACAACACTCTTAGAATTAAATTCTTAAAACAGAAACCTTTTGAAATGTTTGGAGTACCACGGTATTACTTCACCTAATTCCTCTTTTATTACTGTTTTTTAGATGTTTTGTCTAAGTGAATACGAACTTAAATGAAATAATCCGTACTTAGGAATTCAAAGATTAGCTCTATAGAATACAAATATAAAAGAAAAGATTTTGAGAAAGAAAAGAAGATTAAGAAATTGAATATTTCATGCTTTTCTCACGCGCGTTCAAACACTTTCTTTGATTTGATTATTTTATTTTGTCCAAATCGGAAGTAAAATTTTGACTTTTGTTCTTCAGTACAAAAGGAGATGAGCCCTGCTTAGTCGAGAACTGGTCATCTATTTTTTTCTCGAAAGCTTATCCAGTGGAATGACGGCGTTCTTTAAAAAAAGAAAATCTTTCTTATGATAAACACACGAATAAATGGTAGGCTTACAAGAGACGGGAATGAAACCTGCTTACTATAGACCACACAAGCTCGCTAGAAGGGGATCATGTGTATGGAATTAGGCTAGGGACCCAATCAAATAAACATATGTTATATATAAACCTATTTCAAAAAACCTTGTCCGTCGGAGATCTCGGAAATCTTATCAACTCAGGGAACCAAACAAATAAGCATATGTTATATATAAACCTATTTCAAACGACGTTGTATCGGTCGGACATCTGAAATCTGAGACTGACTAGGGAACCAATAAAATAGACACATATACTATATATAATTAAAAACAATGTTGTATCGGTCGGAGATCCGAAATCTAAGTCTGAGTAGCACTCTGCAAATAGTAATATACAATATACTTACCCTTTAGATTGGAATCATTAAGCACGACCTTTGAGTTAGGAATGTGATTTTTTGTAAGTTAGCCAGAAGTCATAAAGGTACAAAAATTCCGTCTCAGATCGCCCATTTCAGATCTCCGTCTGTCGCGTTTTTTTTTTTTTTTTTTTTTTTTTTTTTTTTTTTTTTTTTTTTTTTTTTTTTTTTTTTTTTTTTGAATAGGTGTACACTATCCTAGCTAAGGTTTAAGGTATCGAATAGGACGACAAGGTTATCGACCATGAGAGCGTTGTATTGAAAGATCCGCTTCGAAAAAGCAGACATTAAGAGAAATTTATCAAATTAGTGCCTATCATTGATCGGTTACTTTGATATGCGAGGGTAAAAGGGGTCAGAATGAATGTGATTTTTTTAAAAGCTTTAACACAATTTTCTTATAAAAATATTTGGATAAGTAATTATAACAAATGAAATAATTGATCCAATTTCTTGGATCTACTTCGGATAGATTGACTATTTATCACTTATTTTGAATTTTCATGACACACAATTGTAATCCCAAGTTTCGATTGAGGATACATTTCACAGCGGTTAGTTTACGCGATCCTTCTATTCAATTCTTGCTGAGATTTTAATAGAGTATGCACCGGATAAAAATAAAAAGCTGGTCAGTAAAAAGGACAAAGCTTGTTATGTTCAAATTATTTAAAATAGTTAAAAAAAAAACTAATGAAATAATGATTCGATCTGGGAGTTAGCTATGCTATGCTTCCCGGCAGAGACTGTTTCAAGATTGTATTCTTAAAGCCATTATAATACCGTATCTGTTATAACTGAGACCTGAGGCAAAGACTAATCTATCTACAATTGTACGAGCCAAAAATCTCTAAGACACAAGTACAAATGATCTGATAAAGAGTTAGACAAACGAAACCGACTTTAGAAATCTGGAGATTTAAATTTAGCTCAATAGACGAAACAACACTACGAGGGCAAAACTTTTTGTTATTCAATTGTTTTTTTCTCTAATCCTATTTTGTTATTGATGTCTCGCTGGGGAGGTGCGTATGAGACGCATTTGCCTACTCAGATCAGTCGGATATTAACAGCACAATAATTAAATTTTCAACATCATGAAATAAATATTTGAGAAAAGGTTGATCTCTTGCTCTGGAAACATATTTTTGAAAGCAAAAATCTAGAAAGCATAGCAATCTAAGAGTCTAATTCAATATTTTCTATTTCACTTCATGAAATAAATAAAAAGAAATTATAGGTATTTAAAAGAAATTTAAAAAAAGCAATCAAATCTCATTAAAATCTGTGCAAACTACCTATTAGTATAAAGCTTTTGGAGTGAATTCAGTTTCCGGCTTAATAAAGCAAGAAAAAAACTGAGAAAGATTAAATGTCTTGAAACTTGTTTCAAAGTTAAAACTTCACTGCCGCCACCAAAGCCTCGACAAATGCGCGCGCGCTTGAAGTTATAAACCGAGAATAGTAAAAGAACGATAAAAAGATACGTAGCGTTTATAAAGGCGAGAATTAAGCTTTTTCTCAGTTTACACTGAAAATAAATACACAACATTCTCTACGTCATAACAAAACTTAATCAATAACAACCAGAATGCGCCAGACCCAAATGGTTTTCAGAAATCATCGAAACATAGTGGTTACCGCAAAGATTGTCTGCACAGATATGACCCTTTCACTTAATTGCGAGTAGCCAAAAATCATGTTGAGCAAAGGTATTCTTCTTTCTCAAAATTTGTTACTTTTTTCACGAGTGTTGAATTCATTTATGAAGAAAAAGTACACACATAAACATGGAGTGTGATTTTCTCTCGAAGTTGTGTTTAATGTCCCAACAGATTTGGAAAATCGAGTCAAGAATCAGGTTTGACCCGTAATATCGTTTTGTTTTAGGTGTTTTTTTGGGGGGTCAATGTTATTGCGTTAAAATAATAAAACAAACCAACCATGGATTGCTTTGCTTTTCCTTGGCTCTAATGGAAGATAATTTGAAGACAAATCGATGCAAAATTGATGAGATGAGTTAATCGGGATCCCAAATGGTGCATAGTACTATATGAAACAAAATATCTTAGAAATTTTACTGATATAGCGGCGGGAATGGATGTTTGACTTTTTGAATTTTTTTCTCCTTTTCCCTTTTAAAATTTGGTTCAATAGCCACATATAAATAATGTTTTTAATATGTTCATTCAGTCGCGCTTATAACCCTGTATTATGATATTATCATGTAGTAGTTGGTATTAGGTAAATTGAAGACTTACCAGGAGCTCTGTCATACTGTACATACTTAGAGTACGCGACGTGGATAAGAAGAATTAGATTCATCCATGATCGTGATTCACGAACAAGTGAAGCCATAGTCCTCAAAGTAATCAATGCCTTTCGCAGTCCAAGTGCTCAAAGTGTATCAACCTATTCTTGATGTCATAACCTTGTTTATTTACTCAATTGCTCTATTAATGCCTTGCGAGGACTTGACAGGATTTGGACCAATCATGAAGGTTCACCTATTTTTTATACGTGAAAATTGGGGTTTAATCATGCTATGGAATAATACTATGACTGTGGTTGATTGTGTTAGAGATATAGAATATTCTTGCACAAACCTTGTCAATTATATCTGTAGACTGACTTACAGGCATTCATGACAAAAATCAATTCTGAATTGTCTGTAAATATTCCGGTATAGCGAACAACAATTCCGAGGAATCTCATTAAAGAACATACTAGGAAACACTTAAATATAACTCGGAGAATAAGCCATTCAGTCACAATCTAGTAACTGTTAGTAATTTGTCAAAATGATTGGATTCGGAGAATTTACGATTTGTAAACTTTGTGGCTTTCCGTAAATAAAACTGGTGCCTAAGTAAATGTTTTCTCCAAGTAGAATGTGAAATTTAAAAACTAAAGGCTGTTTACTTATATTTTCATGAGACAATTTCCGATTTCACAACTTTGTGGCTTTCAGAATAAAACTGGTGCCGAAGTATTTTTTCCCCAAGTAGAATGTGACATTTGAAAATGAGACACTGTTGTGCGACTGGAATATTATTAGCTACGTTTTCGTTTACATCTAGAAAGTACTATACAATAATAGAGGAAGGGAAAACAAATACAAATAGCTACAAATTACAAAGAATTATTATTCAATATTTACAGAAAAACTTGTAGCAAACAAATTAATTTTTGTCAATGTTGGTATTTTGGAGACGGTAATTATTTGAATGGAACGTATACACATACTGTTAAATTTGTCGCTTGTTTCCAAACATGAACCAGTCCAATTACTGAACGATTTCAACTCACCTTACACTTTTACTTAATAGAAGTAGAGAGCACTGTTCTATTCTTTTCTTCTACTATTCTTTTTGTTTAAATCAATTTGGTATACGTTATATCACATGTATGACTAATTGCCAGAACGTTTGTAATATAAAAATAATAAAAATAATATAGAAATATAAAAATATAAATGACGAAGAAATGAAAATTAATCAAAAATAAATAAAATGATAATAATAAATGAAAATAAAAATTAACAAAATATCAACTAATAGAAATTACTTAAAAATGACAAAGTTAATTCATAGCATAATTGCAATGCAAAAACTTATTTCATCGTAAATAAATGAAAAGTCTTCAGAATAAATATTTTTAAAATGATCATATTCTACTTTTATGCTATCAATTAATCTCTATTCGTTATTCGTTATTTTTGTTTTTAAATGATAACGTTTTTTCAATGAAGCTCATTTGTCAAATCTCGAAAAAAATCCAAAGTTGTAAATATATATTTTTATTTTCTTGACATGTTTTAAAGGTATTCATATGAATATATAAATACGAGAATACATAAAGGCATGAGTATTTTATGACATGAAAGTAAAATATATATGGAAGCAATAGGACAGTCGTTGATAAGCTGTTGTAGATAACAGTGTTACGTGAATCATCATCCACAAGTACTTTATTGATTTGAATGTAAAACATTTCAGATGAAATTCGCCAGGAATATCAGCCGTATTATAAGGATGGCCGGCTGGCAGCTCTTCTTGAGGAGATCTTGATTTATTATTTGAGCGGCACGTTGAATGATGTAAAGAGCGCAAGTGGATGTTTATCTAAATTAACTGATCAAAAGGAACGTTCTGTGCATAAGATCAAGGTGAAGTCGATCTGGTGTTACTTCGATCCATCGTGTCTACATCATCCATTATATCATTGTATTTATTGTACTAACTCTAGACCACAATGTAGCTGGTTTGTCTTATCAAAGCTTGCTTTTACCAAAAATCAGTAACAAAAACTGTGATCTCATAGACTATCGACTTATGAAAAATCCTACAATGTAGGATAAATATCGAGATATCCTATGATCGAGAATGAATATACTTTATAAACTTCATTAAGTCGGGCCGGGAGACGGGTCCAGAATTTTCGCAAAGACCAATATTAGTTGTATATAGATATATATCATATTCATATTACAGTTTAACATCGGTAGATTTTTCGCTAAGTGTTGTATTAAGTCCTTAAATATTCATCATGATCGTAAACTGGTTTTCGCTAGCGAGGCAAGAGTCCTTATTTCATTATGGAAACAGAATTTACGCCGTCAAATCAACATGTTGAAATCACCTCTTAATTCCTTTTTCTTTTCTTTGTATTTGCGCTCGTTCTTGAGATCGCGTCGCTAGCGAAAAACATGCTTCAATTAAAGCAAGATGAACAAATTAAAATCATCTGCAAGGTCTGGAAGTATGAGGTATAAACAAAAGAGAAAAATTGATTAATTCAAGTATTGAACCGCCGAGTAAGTTTTTAATTACTGGACTGAAAAACAAACAGTGCTTATTTGTGGTAGAGTGTGAACAGATCGCCAAACCGCAGAAAATTTGTTTTCCCAGTAAAACAGAGCAGATGGCTTTCAATGCTCAACCTTTATTTTTCGTCATAAAAATGAATTTATATCGAGAGCTCATTTCTATTAAGGAACTGAAGTTTTTTTTTTTTCCGGCTGAATTTCTAGACAAATTACTTTTTAACTTCGAATATTAAGCATTTTTGTTCTAACAGAATAGGTTGTTTATACGTTAACATTCCCTAAGGAGTAATAGATTTGATAAGATCTGTAAATCAGCTTGATATAGAATAAAAGGGAGTGCACGCCTAACAAACGCGTTTTATCAAATGGATTTTTTAAAATCTACTGTAATCTTTGGGTGAGACGGAGACTGACGCCCACAATCACTTGATGTAGCGAATGGTGATAGAAAACAGTAGAATATTATCAAGAAAAGGAAAACTGGAAGACACTGAGTGACAGAAAGAAAGAAAGAGAGAGAGAGAGAGAGAGAGAGAGAGAGAGAAAGAAAGAAAGAAAAGTTAAATGGAAAATACTTAAATTCATGAGGCAAGTCACGTGAATTTTCATCCTAGGTGAATCTTGTAAGTCGTCCCATCCAGCCGATTCTCACAAGAAGATTCTGTTCCTCAAAACTCCCCCGCAAAGACTATCCATTGGTCTATATACATCATGGCGAATTCCACTGACCGTGTGTTAGTCAACACTTGCTAGAAGATAAAATACGCCCCAAAATGCCAATAAAAAAACGCGCGAAAAAAACTTAAAAAATCCAAAGCTAAAACTTTCAATCCAGAACCTCCGCTGTGCTCCGCCGTGTTATCGACGTCGACTTCATGCTGAACTTCCTAAAGCGGCGATTAAAATTTTTAAACTTCCTTAATTTATACAAGAAATACTTTAGTAAATCTGGATAATCCTTCTTTGCAGCCGACTTTCATGATCATTACTTCCTTATCATCTTCTTTACTTTTAAGTAAAACGTTCTCGAACCTATCCAACGTACTGTGCTGTCCAGCTAAAGTGTCGTTAAAAATCTCAAGTGAGTTAAGAGGCGACGCAAATGGACATTCTATTTTTTTTTTCGTTCAAGGTTTCCTTGCTTTCAATCTTCCAGTTTGAAATGATGAAAATCTATTGGTTTTGTCATAACTAGTTTGTAGTTTAACTCAGTAATTTTAAGGAAACGTAATCTTATGAATATGCAAAGAACATTTGGCAATCTAAGTTCATTTCCTGCTGAAAGTAGATATCAACAAACATAAAATGAATGCAATTAAATATTAATTCATTGTATTCAAGCTCTAAATCATAGATCATTAAAAACAGTAAACAAAACGTTCATTAAACAAAACCCGCACACCGTAAACCGGCAAAAAGCACAGCAAGCAAAAGACTTAGTAAACAAAAAACACACATTTATCTAATGATACCATATAGTTTAATATCACCGAAACAATAGATTAGTTTACTGTGTGTTTGTAATTTAGACTCTTGCCAAAATGAATTTATTTGGAATTCAATTCAATTTAAAATTAACTGAGTATTTTGTTTTATCTTGGTCATCATTCGGCGGCCAATACACGACTGCACTAGATCACGTTGTTCTAGTGAAATTTCACATGGGACTCTACAGACTGACGAAAAAAACGAATTTTTGTACGCCTAATGTGTATTTTGAACATCACACTACTTTTAGAGAACTATCTTAAAATGTTTGAAGGGTCTGTTTTAAAGTAGTACCAAAATTCAGCGTTTTTCAATTTGAAAAACCCTTCGGTAAGAACTACTTTCATCGCTGCTTTTAGAGCTTTCGAGAGTTGTGAGAAGCTTTGCTTCAGCTTTCTTTCCGACTTAAACGCGTTAAGATGCTCATATAATTTTTCAATATCTCAAAGACGAGATCGCTACGCCCATTTCCCCCGAACTTATATAATTTCTTGTGGTGTAAACTAACAAAGTAAAGCGCGCACCGTCAGCTCCCTGAATGACCAGCTAAAGGCTGGAGGCCGAAACACTGACGTTAAACAATAACACCTTTACCGTTTTATAAATATTATATATTACATGCTGTTTTGGCTCGAGAAAAGCTTATTAAAAAATAAATGATTTATCATGTGAACCAAACGGATCCATTCTTGGCGACTATGAGAAACCGGAGATAACTGACTTCGATAAATTAAAATTCTGCGCGAAAAATTTTCCCAACGTGACACGTGAAAAATGAACGTTATGTTTTCCGAGTTTGCGGAAGAAAATGACAATTTTTGACAACTTTTTTTCAATTTCCTTCGATTTGGAAAATATCACCGACTAACCGGCTATGACCTGTTTGCTTCATCAGCTTTGCTTAAACATATCATTCGTCTTTTATTATTCAACAGGCGGCTTTTTTACATGCTTTTAATTAACAAGACTTGAAGTGTATAAAAGAGCTTTGTGTCGAGTGTTTCCGTTATTTTCCGCTTAGGGTTATGACGGTCAGATGTGTTTCGAGAAATGAATGTCAGCTTTACGCTTTTTATTTTATATGTGCTTTCTTTCTGAATCGCTTTTG